TCTAACACGTTTTGATGTTAGTAAATGAATCATCTAACCAAAGCACCAAATCTCACAATCATACAGAATTCAAGTGCTCCTGAACGTAAAACATTTTGTAACGTAGACAAAACCGTCTGATGAATAGTAATTGATGTGTACGATTTAACACAGCCAAGATTCATTGATACCCGATGACAACATACTGTGGCAGTAATTAATGTTGACAGGACACATTGCTCCATACTTTTTTTATGTACTATTTAATATTATACATACTGATGCTAGGGTTAGTGAGTCAGTGAGTTAAAGGTTAAAGTCACTTCGGCAATATTTAAGCCATATCGTGACTAAATCAAGTTATAGATTAATGGAAAATTATAAAAAAACTGTCAACGAAGGACAGTAAAACAACTAGATTATGACAGATAGAAATTTAAAACTAGTAATTAAATCTAAAGCATTTTAACTATACATGACAATACAATAAAAAAACAGGCTATAGATTGCTAACAACGGAATTAGATTACCATACTAGGGATCCTGGGGACTTACATTACTTTTGCTACTTGCATGGACCCTAGCTGGATTTACATAATCCCTTCAGCCGTTAGCAATTGAGACAAATCTGGCGGTATATTAAAATCACACATATTCTACGATTAAAAAATGGAGAGTTTTAATTTAACTTAAATGTTTTAGGACGTACGTACCCTCTCAGGAGGACTCTGATGCTTGGGAATAATTCATATGATTCTTTTTATGCCGACAAGACACCAGTGGCATTTCGTATGCATCACTGAACGTCATAAATGAACTCCTTATCATTACTTTAGTCACTAGCCCGCATACAAAACATGTTTGATTTCATAAAGTCATGTTATCCCGACGCAAAGTGAGTTATAATTAAGTATACGTAATTTACCAGTCTGTTCAGCAGATTAATGAGCAGTCGATATATAAAAAGTTTGTTCCATGTAGTTAAGCGGTAGTTGCTATAGGCTGATCACTAAAATACAGTGGAATCTGTAAAATCCGGACCCTGTGTAAACCGGTTTTCTCGATAATCCGGACTACTCTCTAAGTCCCGGCAAACTTGTTCTCAATTTATCATTAAAGCTTGCTTTATAATACGGAATCTGTCAATTACGGATTACGCACTAAAATAACGGATGAGGTTTTCGCGCGATCTCGCTATTTTCCACCGCGAAAACAGTTTGTTGACATGTGATCGTCCAACTACAACACATATGACTTTTAGCGAAATGAAGTATGTATGCGTTTACATTTTCTGTCAACTACACTTCATTTCGAGCTCATATTGAGCTACAAGTCTAAAAATAGCGTGTGGAAAGAGGACCAAAATGTAAAAAAATTGGACTGATTGTTGTTTGTAAAGGCGATAAATTTGCATGCTTGATGGTAACTTAATACTTCTTTTGGGATGCTTTTTAAATTAGGTTTTCTCCCTTTTCTGCTCATATTGTAAATATTTTGTTTCACCAAGAGACAAATGGCATTTAAGTGGATTATTATTTCTCACCTTAAAACCAAAAATAATATTTTCTGGTGTAAAGTCAATGTATCCTTCAAACAACCTTTCTAACCATTTAGCCATCTCTTTCCACACTTTGCTTGAATATATAAATATATAACACTTTCAGACACCTGTTTACAAAACGAACACATAGGTGAATCAATAGTCAGGAGCAGGATGTTATAGAAGATTTGCTGTTGAACTGGCAACCAATGGAGAGATTCCAGAACTGGAGTGATGTGGTCAGTGCGTCGCTTCCCTGTAACCAATCTTGCAGCAGAAGTTTGTACTCTTTGCAGACGTGATATAATCTTTTTAGGTAGGTTGACAAGAAGAGAGTTACAGTAGTCGAGACGGCTGATGATAAGATTTTGCACAAGACGTTTGATGGTGTCCAATGTCATGAGATATCTGATTTTCAATATTGAGCACAAGAAAATACGCAACAATACAACGTAAACATTGGATATAGATCGCCAAGTGAAGGAAGATTACCATACTAAACAACATGGGGACTTACAGTACTTTTGCTACCTGCATGGACCCTAGCTGGTTTTACACTATCACTTCAGATGTTAGCGGGTCTGACAAATTTAGATATGAATTAAAGGAACACACATTCTACAGTTAAAACCATGGTACGAATAAGTATACTTTGAATGAAGTCTTCTGGCGTACGCTCTCAGGGGGTACTATCAACGTACATTACTTCAACACCCTTTGAGGGTATAGCCACAATCTCAGTTATCAAATGTATTCGACTAATCATAAGAAACATATATTATATGCAAAACATATTGATCAAAATTTGTGAATCATCTCAATTTCTTTAAACTTTGAAATAGCTACACCTTGTGATGGAAAAATCATACAGTTGGAGTATTGCTCACGTTAAGCAACAGACACAAATGTACATATTCAACATAATGTTAAAATATAATTAAAATGATTATAAAGATATATAGAGAGAGTGTACTATTACGCCGCTTTATCAATATTCCAACAATATCACGGCGGGGGTCACCAGAAATGGGCTTCACACATTGTTCCTAGATGGGGAATGGAGATATAGGAGTGGATCACAATTAAAACATTCACCTGTACAATATTTTGTCAAAGTAATGTTAAAACTAACGCAGACTCACCATCAGTTGAGCCACTTCCCTTGTCAATTTCTTACCTTGGCATGCAGGGATATCTGAACAACCCAAGCGTTCTTGTGTTCGGTCCTACTGCCTCTATTGTCTGTTAGTAGTGTACAGTACCCTGCTTAAACAACCCAGGTGCAAGCTGTCACCTTAATCCACGCAGCACTGACTCTAATTAGAAATCCACCATAACTACCCATACTTTCATTAACATTAATTAAATCGTTTTATGACTGAATTATTTATTTATCTTCGACTGTTTCATGAATAACGTCAGTACTGCAGTAATGCATATCCGAACGACAATTTGTCGAGTGTAATTTAAATGTGTACATTTATTGCTCATGTCAATAACAAATGTCACCGAACGTGTGTGTGTATTTCGATTTGTTTCGTGAGTTCGTAAGTGATTTCGCGAGTAAGCGATATTACAGCAATACAAAGGCTCGGGACACCAGGAATGGGCTTCACACATTGTACGCCTGTGGAGAATTGAACCTGGGTCTTCAACGTCACGAGCGGACGCTTTAACCATCAGACTACCCCTCCGCCCGTTCGGAAAGAAAAACATCAGCGCTGGCATCCAATCGTCTATGGGGATATAGGGGTAGTATATGTTCCAGCCACTATCTTATCTTTCCTGACTGATCACCCCGAGGGCATAAAAGTTTACCGACGATTTCGACATCAACCTCTATTGACGCTCCCTTAGTGTCATGGGACCATGTACGGTCCCCTGAAACTGTCTCTTTAAAGCCGAGTGCGCAAAGCCAAATTAAAGATTATGATCTTAAACATCGTTTAATATTATATGCACTGCTACGAATGGCAAAATATGGTGAGATTAGTGAGGCAGTTACCATGCTTCTCGAACCTTTTCTGTCATGACTGAACTTTAAGCGAATGGTGGCGATTTACTATTGTCATTGGTAGAATGCACGAAATACACCAACCACCTGCCTGTTCTGACTGACAAGGTCTAAGATTTAAACGCTGTGGGTTAAAATCACTACAGTAAGTGTTCGATCAATGAAACTTAGTATAGTGAGAGCTTTAAACTTTTACATCGGCAATATTCATTGCAGCCATGAGAACAAGTTATTATTTCATGTCTACAAAGGACCGTAAGGTAGATATCACAGTTGTAGGTATGAAATCAACTACATCAATACTAAAAGTTTCAAGATATGTATAGATTAAACTAGGCTATAGACCACTAGCAGCCAAAGCTGGGCCACCATACTGGGGATCATGGGGACTAAGGGTTTTTCTGTTTCCTGCAAGATTCCTAACAGGATTTCACTTTGTTTGCCAGTGGCTGTGTGCAATGCCAGTCAATATCAAAATATTTTTTAGGAAAAAAATACTAGTTGCCGTTATAAACATAAATTAAGTTGGCCCCATTTGCCACTGTCACGAGGTAATACGGTCTGATGTACCCCTTTTCGTAGCAGTGTCATCCCTCGCTTACCGGCCCTTGTGACACTGCTACAAAGAGGCTTACATCAGACCGTATTGCCCTCGAGAGAAGCATACAACTTATAAATACTGTTAATTTCAGGAAGGTTGTATATATCTGTGAAATTTGAACTCGTATCGAACTCGCAGAACTCCTGTCTGCAGTGGAGTTGTAACAAAAAAGAAGAAGATCAATTAAGGAAATTATAAAAAGAATGAAACTGATGGAACTTATTAAAATATTATATATAATAGGTGAGGGACACATTGGCACATCCTTTCAAGGTCACGACTTCTTCCTTTACTAAGTTCTTTCATCTTAGTGTATCTCAACATAAGATGCGGGCGGTGGGGTAGCCTAGTGGTTAAAGCGTCCTCTCGTCACACACACACACACACACACACACACACGACACTGAGTGCGGAATAATCTATGTATATCTTACCATAAATCCTAATCCCCCCCCAAACTCACATGACGTGACATAAATCCGTCCTGAGAAAATTAAGCTAACAGTTCTCTGTTCACAAAATGCCGATTCATTCATTGCTGACCTGGGATCTGAACACTTTGTGTTTTTATCGAGGTTGAAAAAAAGACAAATAGACAAATTACAGTCATGCAACTCCCCTTTATTGTGAACTCAATTACAACAGCTTAAACATACAAAACGGAAAGTTGTGTCATTGGTAAACAGAGGGTTGTTAATCCCTGTAAATTTTGGATGTTTACACACCTACCAAAGGTTTATGTAATCGCACTCCAATCACGTAAACATAGCTCATTGCTATCATTGTACATGTATCAAACAGCCTACTTGCATTGCCTTAGATTAAATAATTCACAGTTGGAGCTGAATTTGACAAGTTGCTGAAGACTACAGGACTATTATGTCATTCTCATTCGCACACGAATTCGAATCTTCATCTTGCTCCTCTAGTGAAAGGACAGTGGATTTGGCAAATGCTTTCTTGGTGAAGTGGGAGACAACGCCAACTGCCAGACAATCTCCAGCCACGTTCACCGAAGTCCGGATGCGATCCCTATAACAAAATGGTTCACGGTATTCCTGTGTTTGTGTCACCTTGCTGTTAAAAGCGAGGCCAGTGCCGTTGCTTCACCATGGCGTTATTCTGACAGACCAAGGATCGTGGATCCGGGTTAGAATATGTCTTCAGCAACCCATGTTTGCCTCAAAAGGCGACTATGCTTGTCGTAAGAGGCGACTAAAGGGATCGGGTGGTCAGGCTCGCCTACTTGGTTGACACATGTCACCGGTTCCCAATTGCGCAGATCGATGCTCATGCTGTTGATCACTGGATTGTCTGGTCCAGACTCGATTTGTTCAGACCGCCGCCATATAGCTGGAATATTGCTGAGTGCAGCGTAAAACTAAACTCACTCATCCAAGGATCGTGATCGGGTCTATCGTTCTGATTAAATAGCAGAGACGTATGCTGCCCAAAATCGCTGAACTACGTTGAACACTCATTATACACGAAACAGGTTACAACTGTTGTAGAAATAAATCAGAATATTATAATTCATGTAGTTTTTAAAAAAAATATACACATCGAGAAGATGTGGTCCTCCCTGACTCGTTGTCTGTGTTTAAAGATCGATGTATGTAATTGTTATACTAAACTGTAAGCCCTGTAGATTTTTATGATACATGACATGCAATTCTGAGATCATGTTAAATTCATAAATTGCTCTCTCGTAATATTGCTAAAAAATGCCAATATGACGCTAAATTAGACTAGATTTGTCGAAAATAGAATGGACATACGTTAACCAGTCAATGGTGACCAAGTACGAGATCCCCGTGTCTGGAAGTCCCACAGCGTTCAGAACAAGCAGCAGAGCGGTGATGCCTGTCCCTGGAACCCCAGCTGCTCCGATACTGCCCAGGATAGCTATCAGACTGAGAGCATACAATCTCTATATAAGCTCTCATTGCTATACGTCCCACCTTTATAAATCAGTATAGATTTACACATCCTTATTGAAACATGCTTTCAGGATATGATTTCATAAGAATAAATCACAAACATCTGAATTATGAACATGACTGCAGGAAGAGGTGTGTCCGCATTTTGTCCAAAAGGTACACATCCACAAAATGACACATCACGACTTCCCCCCTACGCGTTTCACCTTTATCTAATGACGTCACAATGTAACGTTCACAAACACTGACGCGTCATACAGCAACACCTCCAGCTACTGTTATAAGGGCCTGGTAAGCAAGAACGACAGAACGTTCAAACTTTGAATTCTGTTAAAATGAAAACGAATTATGGCAATGTTACAATGACAAGATGTAAACACGTGTCAAATTCGACTCACGTGTTATGTCTAAAGAATTCAGGGTATCAAACTGTAAACGGGGAAATTGTTGAACTTGTAGACATGTATCAAATCTTTGAAATGCATTTAGAAGTGGAAAGCATAAGAAAAGCAAGATATATGGATGCCAACTTCTTTATTGTGAATAAAAAAATGTTTCGGTGTGTATGTTTGCTCCTTCATCTGGTGATGAACGAGCAAGCCAACACACCGAAACGTCGTTATGAAGGAGCAACCATGCACACCGAAAAGTCGTGATGAAGGAGCAAGCATACACACCGAAAACGTCGTGATGAAGGAGCAAGCATACACACCGAAAAGTCGTGATGAAGGAGTAAGCATACACACCGAAACGTCGTGATGAAGGAGCAAGCATACACACCGAAACGTCGTGATGAAGGAGCAAGCATACACACCAAAACGTCGTGATGAAGGAACAAGCATACACACCGAAACATCGTGATGAAGGAGCAAGCATACACACCGAAACGTCGCAATGAAGGAGCAAGCATAAAATCAAAAAATCAAAAAGGAAATAACTATTCCATTTAGACTGCATTCTAAGCTGGACCACTCCGCAAAATATCATTTATGCTATATTAAGGGTGTCATGAGAAATACACTGGACAAAAACAGAGCATTTAAAGGCAAGACAGCCTGTCGATAAACACCAGATAAAGGATCCCAGAACAAGGCGCATCTGTTACAGTGTTCACATCGATATACGCACACCAGAAATAGAAATATAATTTCAAATATTGTTCCTGTTTTCAAAAAGAACACATCTGATGCAATGCAGCGTAAAGTTGAAGAAGACTTTTTTATTATTATTTTTGTCCATCTTTGAATAGGTAAACATATAATTGAACTTTGTATTTACTATTGTAAAAATTACTATTGCCAGTTGCGAACATTACATAGTGACGTCGTTATAGAGTGACACAATATAACCTCTTAACGTGTAATCTCTCCCCCAAGATACAGGTTAAATTCGGGTCTTGTCATTATTTTGTGGATTTCTTTATATATGTACTCCTGTGCCCTGCTGCACTTCGCCTCTTTACATGTTTATCATGTTCCACGGTATTTAAATATAGATTGCTTCTTCATATCTTTCAACTTTACAAAATACATCAAATCATAAAACGCCTGTCATCAATTGACAATGTGTGGAGATACGATATGCCCTTGGGCTATATAATTGCTATGCAGCGTCTCTCATATGGTCTCATTATGGTTCTAAATGTCAGCCACCCGTGAAGGTCCGGGTTAGAATGTACCTTCAATAACCCATGCTTGTCGTAAGAGGCGACTAACGGGATCGGGTGGTCAGGCTCGCTGGCTTGGTTGACACATGTCATCGGTTCAAAATTGCTCAGATCGATGTTCATGCTGTTGATCACTGGATTGTCTGGTCCAGACTGATTATTTACAGACCGCCGCCATATAGATGGAATATTGCTGAGTGCGGCGTAACACTAAACTCACTCTAAATGCCGATGGTATGGTGATATGGCTATGGTATAACTGTGAAAAGATTAGGTGGTGGCTAATATAGGGATATTGTTGTGATGTGGCCATAATGTGGTGCTGATATGGCTGAGATTTGGCAATGATGTGGTTAAGACATGCCTATGGCTATAACATGGCTGTGAAAGGGTATTGATATGGCAACGATTCCTGTGTGACCAGGCTGTGACAAGGGTATGTAATGGCTTCGTTATGGCTATGATATTGTTTTGATTAATGCATAATATGGCTGTGATATGGTTATGGTATTGCGCTGATTTGGCCTTGATATGCCTATATTACTGAAAGCAAAATAGAGAACATTATCTATTATCATCATGAAATGGTACAAATGTTTTTGGATGAGAGTTTTGGATGGCATTTTAAGTGAGATGCAATGCAATGCAATAAGTGCACTACGGTAACATAGGAATTATATACATCAAGTCTGATAAAAAAGATTGGACATATTACCTTATTATGATTATATTCGTCACCGAAAGGCTGACTCCACTGTACTGAGCGATAAACACAGGCGCACAAACATAATATATTGCCCCAGCATCCATGTTGACTGTAGCCCCTATAGGAAGGACAAACTTGCTGATGCTGTGGGACACTTTCAACTTCTTCTCCATACACCGTATTGTCACTGGCAGGGCGGCGGAGCTTGAAAACAAAATGAGTTTTTTTATATTTGACATTTTCCTGCTTTTTCAAAACCAATTATTTCAATGCCATCTTTTCCTATATATTTACCATTTATTGAGTAATATCATGACCTATATTTGGACGTCAAGCATACTTTATAGGCACCATACAAACGCCACACAAACATCCTACTTAACACACAGACACCATCAACATACTGCATACACACACTTAACAGACACCATACCAACATACTGCGTACACACACTTAACAGGCACCTTACCAACATACAGCATTCAAACACGTAACAGACAACATACCAACATACAGCATTCAAACACTATACAGACACCATACCAACATACGGCGTACAAACACTTAACAGACATATTAACATACAGCATACAAACGCCATACACAAATCATAGACACCATAAAACACCACACAAACATACACACGCTACAATATACCAAAACTATACCCACACTATGCATACATAGCCAGGCTATACAGGCATCACACAGACATCACACGGACTTCACACGGACTTCACACAGACATCACACACATACATCACACGGACATCACACGGACTTCACAAAGACATCACAAGGACATGACATGGACTTCACACAGACATCATACACAGACATCACAAGGATACATCACACGGACATCACAAGGACATCACACGGACATCACACAGACATCACACGGACTTCACACGGACATCGCACAGACATCATACACATACATAACGCGGACATCACACGGACATCACACATACATCACACGGACATCACACGGACATCACACGGACATCACACAGACATCACACGGACATCATACAGACATCACAAGGACATCACACAGACATCACACATACATCACACAGACACCACACGGACATCATACAGACATCACACGGACATCACACAGACATCACACGGACATCACACAGACATCACACGGACATCACACGGACATCACACAGACATCACACGGACATCACACAGACACCCTACCTGCATTATAATATAGCCATGACACACAGTATGTAGACAGAAAACTAAATACACACCATACAAACACCATACAGACCACATACATTCATGCTGCAAACACAATACAGATATCACACTATCACTATATCAAAACCACATAAAAACTATACACACACTAAACACAAGTGAACATATCACAGACACAACGATGGCGCCCAATGCCATGATTTACTGACAGTTGAAAATAAACATTGAATTTAAGGCACCCATCTATACATTTCATTTATATACCTATGTTACATTTGATAAGCCCAATCAAAAGTGGAACGTGCGCGATCCTGCATTTACTGCTGAATGTGGTGATATTCTAATTAATTATACTACCTCGACGATGTTGCAAAGGCTGTTATGAGAGCTTGTCCAGCCGCCCCGAGAACACGAAACGGATTAGTCCTGGTTAGAACCAAATACAGTAAAGGCGTAGCAAGTAAGGAATGGACGACCAGCCCTGTTATTTCAGTGACGATGTAGAGGACCAACACTTCACCTGTCTCACTCAGGCTGACTGAAGACAGCAACTCACCTGTAATCATGGACATTATGCCGAGCGGGGAGAACCTGTGAAACACAACGAAGACCGAGAGAATAGCACATGGTGTTGACAGCAGAAGGTATAACATAGCATGATTTTATATATTGTGCAAATATAATGTAAGAAAGATAGCTTCACTTCATTTGTTCGTTCTTGGTGTTATAAAACATGTGAACCTTCATTTCACTCTACAGAGTCTCAAAAACGTTATTCCTTGTGGCAATAGTTCGGATTCTTGGTTAGAGTTCATGGTAAAGGTATGTTTTGACACTCAAACTACTTTGAGTCATTGTCCTCATGAAATAGAAAGTTTGTGCTCGTGTTATTTGTCTATTCACATGGTTAAACTGAAATTTAGACCACGGTCAAACCTACTTCATCCAGACGTGTAAGTTATTGATCATTTAACTCACCACATAGCTAGTTGAATCATATTCAGAGTGATGGTGTTGATGGCATTGAAGAACCGTAGTACCACGGATCCATGTCTTCCCATTCTGCTGAGAAATACCCCAAAGACCACAGAGTATGTCAGTATACCTGTAACATGAATACAACCACATGAAAGCTCTATAGCACCCTATCTCATCACAAATATAGAGACAAAACCGTTCTTTAATGATACGGCATCTTTGGTCAGACAAGTAATTATGAATCCCAAGCAAACAGAACACAGGTGTTTCGCGAGTCACCTTATCAAAAGCAAGTGAATATACGATTCAAGCCAATTGGTGAACTGCATCAGAAGTTCTATTGTCTCTGATGCGAAATCTGGATATGTCCTCGAGGTGTCAAGCATGGGCCTATATGTTTTAAGAGGCGGTGGGGTAGCCTAGTTGTTAAGGCGTTCGCTCATCACGTCATGGACACAATGTGTGAAGCCCATTTCTGATGTCCAAAGCCATGATATTGCTGGAATATACCTAAAAGCGGCGTACAGCTAAAATCACTCACTTTACGTTTTAACATGTTAGAAGCAGTCACTATGAACAAAACCATTTAGAGCAAAATTTTGTGTGACACTCACGAAGTATTTGACTCTTGTGATTGTTTCAATACGATTTTAAAGAGGCACAGTGGTGTGCTAAAAATGACCGAGGCCGCACATGAAATAATAATATTAAGTGCACTTATAATGCGCCAAGCCCCAATCGTCAGGTGAATGCTCATAGCGCTAAACAGTCCATTGGTATTTACAAAGTTTGCAATTGGGGGGCAAGATTAGGATGTGTTGTAAAATTGGTTAAACAGGTACGTCTTTAAAGACCTCTTGAAAGTGCAGACATTTTCAATTTTGTTTTCAAGTCAACAGGCAGTTCATTCCACAATAATTGCTGTATTGAAGGAAAAGGATCTTTTCCCCAACCGTCTAAACTCAGGTTTTGGCACATAGAGGACACACAGATCTGTAGATCGACGTTGCCATTATGGTTCATAGTGTTTTGTGAGTTCTGACAGATAGGCAGGTGAAGAATGGTGATAGCATTAATAAGCTAAGGACAGTATCTTGTACTCAATTCTGGCAGGAACAGGAAGCCAGTGAAGCTGAGTTATGTTGAATGATCTCTTGCACCTCATCACAATCCTGAATGCTGTGTTTTAACACGTTGCAACCTCTGGAGTTGCCCGTTGGATATGCTGGCCAAGAGACTGTTGCAGTCTTCCAGTCATGATAACACCAAAGAGCACATAAGAGTATGGGCCGTAGCTGGTAGTGACCTCAAGTCTATATTTGTGTAAATTCAAACTGCACTGTTCATCACGTTAAGGTGCCTACCGACAGTGATTGAGAAAGAACTTACCAACAATATTGATGCCTCCCATAACAACTGTCTTCTTCAGCACCAGCGGGCCTCTTCTTGTCATGTTTAATGCAGCATTTTCTCCATTTACACTTGCATTGGTCAATTCTAATCTTGTATCAAAATCGGTTGTTATGGTTCTGGTGTGCTGAATGGCGGCACCAATAATGTTGTCAGGGAAGACGTTTCTGTAATGGTAATAATGATGTCATTTGGCAATTTTAAGTGTTCCTGATCGTAAAACAGTGTTGTAACTGTAATAAATTGTTGTTGATAAGATTCAGTAGAAGTTGTGTTTTAACAATATTTAGTTGTCAGGTATGTAGTGCTACCTTGCGGAAGTACTGCATTTTAAACTATTTTGAAGTCAAGAGTAATCAGGAACATTCTGGACTGCATAGACTAACTAATTCAGAATTGCATTGCTTGTATCCAACATTCTGAAAAGTCATTAAGACAGCATAATGGGTCATCTTCCCTAACAATAAGAACAACATTAAGCGTGAAGGTGATTAGTGTCAACCCTGGCCTACTTTGGAGCCCTGGCCACTGTTGCTTCTTGGTGCACGTTATCATGAATTGTATTTTGTACCAATGAATTTTGTTCAGTCATTATACTTGCTTTGCAGTAGTTTGTAGATATGCAAACAATTTATACTACAAAAACTATTTTCGTCGTTCACTGGTTTCACACTAAATTCTACATTATTGCGTTTCAGTTTGGAAACGAATAGGTAACAATATCTAGGTTCCTTTGTTAAGCATGTACATGTTTGTATGTAGCAATCTGGAATTCTAGCAATAAATAATTGTAAAAACCATTCAGCCTGATTTGACCAACTTCTCCAACAAAAATATAACCAAAAGAAAATAATATATTCTTGGTGTTGGAAGGTCATGTTGTAATTCGGATTAACTCCGTATTGTATTTGTTTTGAGAGTTTTGCACATCTAGTGAAAGTATCGACATGAATACCAATGCAATCACATTACAATAACAAGAAATCTATCTTAAGCAGACGGGGCATCTTAATTAAAGTCATTTCACTGAATATCGTTAGGCCACATGTGGTTTTTACCTTAATAAATTAACGAAATCTTAAACCACTAAACTTCTTTATCGACAATAATATTATCAGTTAAGGGGCCAATATGATATGTTCAAATCTTGTTTACTACTGGATTAACAGATAGTAATGTCGTTGCATGTTTAAAACATCGATTTGCAGCTTATTCTTTTCAGTTTAAACAGCCGAATCATAGGTCATTTTAACAGCTCGTGAATAAATAAATAAACAATTTATTAGCAAATACGATATCGTCTTTTCTTGGTTGCAATTATTGGTATCTCAAGGAGAGGGCACATTGATTCTAATCAGGAAGCAAAGGCCGCAAGTATGGAGATCTTTCAGTTAATGACAATCTTTTGCACATGTTTATGGTGTTGTTAATTAATGATTTATGTTTTGAAATAATTTCAACTTGTTTGAAACTATAATTGTGATAATAGAGATATGAATCTGCTAGATATTTAATTACATTTACCCAATTTCTCGTCCCGATACTCTAACGTTTATCTCACTTTCTCACCCTAAACAAATCAATAATCAAACCATTTAAAAAGTCTTTATGAATGTCGTTATGAATGGAGTGAAATTTCACATCATACCTGATGGCATCCAAAACCATGTCCGTGCCAGATGTCCTTACTTCTTGTGCTTGAGTAATGTCTCTGGTTTTGGTTGGAGAGTTACTGCCTGGTTTGATGGCGTGTACCAACGCCAGTGATATCAGCAGCGCAATAACAGTAGTAGCTATATAGTACAACATAGCCAGCAAACCAATCCTTCCAGCAACAGCTCCCTTCATGCTCCCCAGGCCTAAGAGATGAACATACAATTATGAGAGAAAGTTAGACATAATGTTGGACTTTTGAAGTCTTTGTCTTTCAAAGAATAGCGCCACAAAGAAGGGATTTTGAGCTTTTGACCTTTCCATCTTTCGCATAAAGATGGGAATGATTTATTGACAACCGAGTCAACTTATCCTTGTCCCGCAGTTTTATGCAGACGGAGTGAGCGGGTTTTATTACAATTTATTAAAATTCTCAACTGAGACGTGAATGGATTCATACAGAAGTACAAATCTCCTCTGGAATGGACAACATTTACACTCAGCTTTACCCAGAGACAGATGGGTTGCTAACACATACTGAGGGAAACAAGTATTTATGGCATTGTGCAAGCGTTATTTACTGAAAAAAAAGTGTTTTTATGGTCAGCTAATAGGTAAACAATCAATCTGTTTTGTTCGCATTGAGACCCATATGTGTGACTATCATTGACCCAATACACACAATTACCCATATTGTGCTTCTTGCATGAACATGTCCGTGCAAATTGTGAATCACGACATTGAAGTCAGTATGTTTAAAAGAAGCATTATTTAATGTAATACTTGTATTTCAATTGAACTTTGAATGAAGTATAGTGGAATCCTCTTTTCCTTTATCACATGAAGCGGTTTGATAAATGAATACACTCTGGAAGCAGTTGGAGATCTCAAAACAAGCAGTATAGGTTGTGGCTAAAAATCTAATACAATTTTGCTTGTCCGTGTATATTACCTGTAATCATACTGGCCACTACCAGAGGTAACATCAGCAGCCTCAGCATCCGCAGGAACAACTCCCCTGGAAATTTCACAAGACGGATGGTTTCTTCCGTCGGGGTGAACTGTCGACATATTACCCCAACTACCACACCCACGACTACGGCGAGGACTGTGACGATCAGGAGAATGTTACTTCGCAGGAGCGTTAAGACCTTCATCTACATGAAAAACAAACGGAAAAACATATTTTCCCTCAATTGGTAACATTAACCTCTTTCTCGTTTGGAAAATATGTGTTGTGTTGTTTCTCTCCATTATCACATATCAGCCATTAAGAAGTACATGCAAGGTTATATATATAGTTTTCATTTAGATATTAAATGTTTTAGCATTAAGTACTTTTAGATTTGAAAACAGGATTATGATCAAACAAGGATACCTATTGTCACATTTGTGCTTACATGAACTTAAACTGGAGCTGAAGATGAATAAGACCGACCAACACCATTAGTCTCTCGATCATATTATCCCGCAAGCTTTATTTGGATGAAATGACTCTTCATTGGGTAAAGAATGTATATAAATCGCAATAATGGATGCCAATACAGTAAATATGTACATTAAATATATATGCATCTTCACCACATGGGTATGGAAGGATTGAGAGACTGTTGGCTTGGTAATCATTTAGAAACACCTCTAATATATATCGTGATAATTGATATTAAACATACGGATTATTTCATGCATACAAGATAACTTGTTCCTGACGATATGTTTAAGCTGATAAGATACAGTAGTGGCAGCAATAATGACGTGGTATATAAAATGTACAAGATACATTGATACCGACAGAATATTTTGTATGTGTTATTTAATGTTGTAAAAATACACTGGTGCCAAAGAAGAAGTAATTAATACGGTTATTTCAATGCTGACAAGACACCCTGTTACCGAAGTAGCATTTCGTATGCATTACAGAACGCTGATACTTGAACGTTAAATCATGTACGACAGTCTCTAGCCCGAGTTATGAATATGTAGACAGTAGTAAATAGTCAGTTAAGTCTATACTTTAAGAATGTATGCCCAATGTTACCCTTTGTTTGTTCCATGTAGTTGTTTATTGTTAAGCAGAAGTTGTTACGAGATAATTTCTACATCACCCTGTTATCAAATCAAAAAGCCATCCCTTGTGGATTCTTTGTTGGACTGTAGCCTACGAATGGTTTCCGGGTCAACTTAAGGGACAGGTCAACCTTAGTTTATTGCTATAACGTCGATTTACGCCGATAGCGTGGAGCGTGGCTATAATATCACTGGTTTGTCTAGTCCTACTTCGATTATTTACAAGCCGCAATAATGTAGCTCGAATATTGCCGAGCCTGGCGTTAAGCCACAAAAATAAATGTATAACAAGTGTAGATATTTTTCACTTGAATAGAATTTCAAAAGAAATTGTAGTTTGCACACTAAGACAGAAGCACCATCTAAACACAACGTCCACGCAATTACAAAGAAACTCTCTTCGGTTTTAATGTCACGATTGCTGTTTAGTGTACAGTACACTGTTTCAACAAGCCAGGAGCGCCCCGAGGATTCGGCAAACAAGCTGTTACTTCCAGCTTATTCAAGACAGAAACCATTTACAACTATGAAAGCGCCATATCTATCCCTAATTTAATTAATATTCATCACATCCTTTCATAACTGGTTTCTTCTCCATTTTCGTGATTGACGTCATGCAGCAATTTGTCCTGTATATATTAACAAGAGTCATCAGAAGATGACATATCCCCCGGACCCACATATTTGAAAGAACAAATCATCTGACAGTTACTTAAAGTCCAGCTTGACTTTTTTTAACACTAAGTCCAAATCGTTTTCATGGAAATCATGAGAAATACAAATGCCAAAAATCAGTAAATATAAAAAGGCACCATTTCAATATTTGCCTAATATATCTGCCAAGTTCTTCTTGAAAGATACTGAACGCTTTTCTAGTTGTGCACCGGAAATGAAGCCCACCCCTCCCTTTTGGGACTAACCGAATCGTTTCCATGGAAACTGGGAAAAATAAAAATGCGAAAAATCTGTAAATAGCAAAAGGTACCACTTAAGGATCTGTTTGATATATCTACCAAGTTCTGTTGAAAAATATTGAATGCTTTTTGAGTTATGCTCCGGAAATGAAGCCCACCCCTCCCTTTTGGGACTAACCGAATCGTTTCCATGAAAAGCGAAAAAAAATAAAAGTGCCAAAAATCTGTAAATAGCAAAAGGCACCACCTTAGGTTCTGTATGATATATCTACTAATTTGTGTTGAAAAATATTGAACGGTTTTTGAGTTATGCTCTGGAAACAAAATGATTACGGACAGACGAGGCGTCGAGTACATGCCGGGGCAAAAAAACTGTTCATTTCGGCACCTAACCTGAGGGTGTATTTCGTTTTATATTGAAAATACTATATACGTGTCAGTACATTATGGAACAGGAGATTGCAAAAATGCAGGAATCAGGAAAAATGGTTGAAAGAGCTTTCAATAAACATCCTACTCAAAATAACTTGCAACAGTTGAGTACATCAAGAGCAAAGGTTCGTAGAACAATAGACCAAAATAGACGTAGCAGCTGGAGGCGTTTTGTTTACAACCACTCGCCACACTCCACTTACCAAGGTGTGGAATGTGATAAGGAGAATTAAAGGTAAAGGGTTCACTGACAGTGTCCAAAACTTTAAATCTGACCCAGACACGTTAACATCCAAAAGGCCTATAAGTTGTCAAAACAATTATGATCCTAAATTTCAAATGTATCAAAATAAACAGGGAAAAAAGATTCAAATCGGAAGATTACAATGAATCAAAGATAATTTTACGTACAAGTTTAATGCATGTCACTATTTCTCTCCTCCAGGCGATAGGGCTACTCGTGGATCAGTACTAATACAAACACCAAAGGTAAACTACTGGGGGATTTCATCTCAAATAATGAACTATGCATTTACATTGACGGTTCAAAGACATATTCACATTCTGGCACAAGGACATATTCAGCTCTTGAGTTGTCTATCACTGACTCCAACCTATTAAGTGAATTGGAATGTTCAGTCTTATGTGGAAGTGACCATTTCCCAACAATACTAAAATCCGTGAGCCCATCTGATGTTCCTCCATCGTCAAGAAAAAAGGTCAACTGATATACTGAGTCTAACAAAACCTTGTAGAAGGTCGCGTCAGCTAACCTTTTGGACTGACCAATCAGAACACAGCTTACCAAATCGCGAAAGTTAACATTTGCACATACCGTTTGAACCTTTACCTAAAAACCTCGAACGATTCCGAATGCTATTTTCCGCACGCTCGCTTCCGAGTGATACACGCAATGAGTAAACAGTCGCATTAGCGTTTTTGTCAATATTCAAGGATGTCATCTTGCGAAAATATAAGCAAATAGTAACCATGTCATTAGAAATCCATAAGCGTATATAGTGCAGGTCAAATATATGTTTTCGTTTGTTGATAGATCAGTGTCAGCGACCAGGGAAGAGAAAATTCAAAAACCGTTTTGTAAGTCCCGCCGAACCCTAGCAAGTAGTCGTTGTCTGATTGGTTAAATCCGTTCGGCAGTTTCGCGTTTGATTGGACGGTCATAGGTCGCTCAAAGGTTAGCTGACGCGACCTTCTACAAGGTTTTGTTAGACTCAGTATAGCAGTGTAACGAACAATACTGAGCCTGAGTTTACTTAGATTGCAGAAACTTGTAAGTGGAAAGTTCACTAATAATGACTCACTTATGACCACCTACTGTAGCTTGTGTTCCTTCTGTCAAGGTCAAGTTTAAAATTCAATGCTTTGACTGGCATAATCTGAATAGCTTCATTGTAAGAACATTTAGCTTTAAACATGTGTAGCATACATAGGCTATATGAGCAAATAATTATCCATTTATGTGTGTGTGTGTGTGTGTGTGTGTGTGTGTGTGTGTGTATGTGCGTGCAAGACAAATATGTGCTTGCACAAGTTTACGGCGGGCAAAGCCTAAATACTTCAAACTAACAAACGCTCTGTGTGAGAGTGTGGTGAAGTATAGTAGGTAGGTAGGTAGGTGGGTGGGTGTGTGGGTAGGGAGGTAGGTAGGTAGGTAAAGGCCTTTGTCACTCTTACATTAATGTGGAATTCATGTGGGGCATTATACAGCCAGACACCAGGTTATTTTTATGTGGTCTGATCTATTGATACAGTACATGACAGGCATATGCCCAAGGAGATGGAATTGTATGATTTCTTGTGAACAAGGAAATAAACACAACTGCTAGAAAACTACTCCGGCATTATCTAAGCGTGTGTTTCTGAATCAATAGCAATAGTGATGATACTGGTGCTAAAAGAGAGCGTATCCTGTCCCATCAGTGTCACATATCAAAAACACATGCAAGGGCTAGTCATTTTTAACTTGCCAAAACATAGGGACGTATAGAACAAGTCTATAAAAGGACTTCATTGGACACAATCCTTTTTCGTCACAATCCAAATTTTTAAATGTCCTCGGCATGGCCACCATAACACTTTTTGACGCTCTTTTCGTGTTAAAAGTAACTTGCTCAAATGTACGTACATCTGGAAACACCAAATGCTTGACCTGCAGGAATATTTCTATACATAATAAAAGGGAAGGTTGACGACTGGAAAGATGATGTCATCCCTATTGCCACACAGTCTCGTGGAGAGGTTTTTGTCGTTCTGAATCTTCATACATAGATCTAATTTCTAACGTTAATGATGTTGCGGTCAAATGCTTTAGCTATATTTAGATTGAAATCATGTGATCTAGGGTAAGTCACATGACTGTAAAAAAGGGGAGATAACTTGATAACAATGTTGTACAGTTTCAGTGTGGAGTTCAGTGTTGCAATACGGTTTTTCAACCTGCAACAGCAGAAGTAGCAGAAAACAGTATACACAGATAACACAGAATAAAAGTTTGCTGTATTGGAACCGTGGGAGTTGTTAATCGATACAGACATTTGCAGCCGTGAGAAATGAACATGTTTTGTTGTTTGTAAATGAATCATCCAACCAAGGCCCTGAATCTCTCAATCATACCGAATTTAAGTATTCCTTGATCGTAAAATACTTTATATTCATATAAAGTTTATATTTGCATTGCGTCTAAATCCAAAATTTGCTCAAAGGCGCAGGTCATAGGCTCGTCT